AAAAAATATAAAAAATAAGGATTAGTTTAATACTATTGTTGATGGAAACAGTTCCTCCTTGTGGAAGTTAACAGAGAGAAGATTAAGTCATTTCTATGTGTCTTGTACCTTTTACAACAGCAATGAGTAAATGAGTGTTTGTCAAATTATATTTTATCACTGTGAAATAAACACAATAGGACTTCTCGTTTTGCTTAATCAAAATATTAACCATTTATCTAAAATAGATCATTGTTGTTATGTGCTGTCCAGTCACTTGCAACATGTAGCAACCCTATGTTCAATAGCCCTAAATCCTGCTCCGCCCTGTGCCAATCTCACTGTCTCCAACACACCCACCCTGATTACCCCAGTTACTAAATCAGTCCACCTGATAAAGGGTCTTCCTCCCCTGCACTGTCCCTCCACCCTCCCAAGCATGATATCCCTCTTCAAGGACTGGTCCCTCCTTGCAACATGTCCAAAGTGTGTCAGACAAAGCCTCAGAATCCTTGCCTCAAAGGATCAGTCCAGGATGAAATGTTTGTTTTCTTAGCAATCCATGGTACCCTCAATACTCTTCTCCAGCACCACAGCTCAAAGGCATCAATTTTCCTTCTATCCTCCGTATTCAGTATCCAACTCTCTGATGCATAGCAAGTGACTGCAAAGACAATGGCCTGTATCACGCACACCTTGGTTTCCAGAGTGACACCATTGCTCTTCAGTACTTTGGAGAGGTCCCTAACAGCAGACTTTCCCTTCACAATGCTCCAAGGACCACTAAATCCTGGTCATGTACCCAAAGTATGTGTAAAGGAGCTTCAAAATCCTAGCCTCCAAGAAGAAACTTGTTTTCACCCTCTCCAAGACAGAAATATTTGTTTCCTTGTCAGTCCATGACTCTTCTCCAGAACCACAATTTAAAGGCATTGATTCTTCTTCGGTCTTCTTTATTCACTGTCCAGTTCTCTGATACATAACAAGTAATTTCAAATACCACAGTATGTTTTAGGAGCGTTATAGTCTCTAGATTGACATTATTGCTTTTCTAAGAGTGTTGATTGTGGATCCACGTAAGCTGTAATTATTAACAACCTCAATCTCTTCTCCATCTATTATGGTGCTGCCAATTGGTCCAGTGGTAAGATGTCTTCTTGATGTTGAGCTTCAAGCCATATTGAAGACTAGAGTCTTTGACCTTCTACAAAAAGCACTTAAGGTCTTCTTCAGTTTCAGCAAGCAAAGTTGTGTCATCTGCAAAACGTAGGTTGTTGATGAGTCTGCCTCCAATCTTGATGCCACCTTCGTTATAGAGCCTTACTTCCTGAATTATCTATTCTGCATCTAGATTTAAAAGATATGGAGACAGGGTGCATCCCTGATGCACTCCTTTCCTGATTTTGAACCATGCCATGTTTCCCTGCACTGTTCTGAGGACTGCTTCCTTGTCCAAGTATGTTGTTGTTGTTGTTATTTGTCATTGAGTCGCTTGCGACTCAAAGTGACCCTAAACAGCCCTAACTCTGTTCTGTCTTGTGCCAATCACACTGTCTCTGACATACCCATCCCAATTACCCCAGTCACTGAATCAATCCATCTCGTAGAGGGTCTTCCCCTCCTGTGCTGTCCCTCCATCCTACCAAGCATGATGTCCCTCTCTAAGAACCGGTCCCTCCTTACAACATATCCAAAGTATGTTAGATGGAGCCTCAGAATCCTTGCCTCCAAGGAGCCACCTGGTTTAACCCTTTCCAGGATGAATGTTTATTTTCCTAGAAGTCCATGGTACCCTCAATACTCTTCTCCAACATCACAGCTCAAAGGCATCAATTCTCCTTCTATCCTCTTTAGTCATTGTCCAACCCTCTGATGCATAACAAGTGATAGCAAAGACCATGGCCTGTATCAGATGGACCTTGGTCTCCAGAGAGACACCATTGCTCTTCAGTACTTTGGAAGGTCCCTAACAGCAGACTTTCCCTTCGCAATACGTCCTTTAATTTCCTGGCTACTGCTGCCAAAAGTGTTGTCTAAAAAAAAAAAAAGGGTTGTCTGTGGAACCAAACAAACTAAAGCTGTGAACAATCTCAATCTCTTCACCATCCATCCTGATTCTACCAATTGGTCCAGTGGTGAATCTTTGACTTCTTGACATTGAGCCTCAATCCATATTG